TTTTCCTTCAACAGGAGGTGTATTTCGGTCTCTGTTTTTCACCACGGTACGCAGACAAGGAGAGCGGCCCTCCCAGATGTCTGCATTTCTCCTTCGCGCTGGGGAAGTCCGTTGAGAAGGTATTTGTTAGTGCAGCGTATGAGTCTTTCTGAGACTGGAAGAGGGAGGTAGGAAGATGTTACTAATTTAGTCGATGTTGTACAGCTTGCAGAAACACTGTCAGCTTCTGCCTACACACATCTCACCTTCTTTTGTTAAAGAAATTACACCCGCTGAAAGAGATTAAAAAGTAACACGTTTCTTTCCTGGCTTTTATATTAATAAGGCAAATCTGATTCTGTAGGGTGGGCCCGCTTTTGGGACTGGGGTCTTCTGGGATAGCAGTGGAGACATGACTCCCTGCACAGGTGCTATCAGCCGTACAAAGGTGCGCTAGCCTGTTTTAGTGGCTCTGAGTGCCAGGACCACATTCGTTTGGGTAAATCTCTCGTACCAGGACTTAGGACTTTCCAGGACTAATTAGTATCTACTTAGTACTTTCCTATTTCTCACCAGTGGCAGACCAGCAACCTGCAAAGCTGTGGAGAGGTCAAGTAAAAATTTCAGCAGAAATTTCTGGAGACAGCTACGAGTTCATGGTGACCCTACAATTATTAGATGGCTTGTTGTCCACTGAACGAGAAATTGCAGATGTCTCCTGAAAATAGAACATGCAGTAGGTGGCATAGGCACACATAAGATTACGATTTGTCTCAGGGGTTTCCAGATGGAGAGAGGTGTGAGAGCTTTTTCCACCATCTCCACTTCTCTCTCAGGTTTTGCTTTCGTTTCTGCTTCTCACAGGTTCCCACTCTGCCATCACACACAAATTCTACCCAGGTTCCCAGCTCAGCCCCCTCCCATTTTCTATTTATCACTAAACTCCCCTGTGTCAACACAACCACATTGACTTTGCTGTCTTCTTAATGTTATACTTGTGTATTTATTCTTTCTGTGTAACAGCTATTTTGTCAAAACGGCCTTTTTACTGGAGATTTATACTTACCGATTTCATACCTTGCCTGTGTTCTTTTACATCTGGGGCTGGACGCAAGAAATCAGAGCGAAATGTCTTTCTTCATCCACGCTAAAACTGCCACGCAAGAGCAGCGCTGGTACACCTCAGCGTTGGCTCCCCAAGAAAAAGCGAACTTACAGTCTGCGTGAGACCTGAAGAAATCCTATAGAATATTTTAAAGACTGTTTCCTCGGAAGGCTGTATTGTTTCAATAGCACATTTCTGCCAGTCCTCCTTTCCTGTTTTTCCATTCATGTGAACACAGGGTATTTTAAGAGTCCATCTGCTCATGTTACTTATTCCTCACTTCAAGTCATAATCCTCTGCGATACTACAGTTAATTGCTCTGCCTATGATTATATTGCATCACGAATGGGATTATGATTTTCAAGCCTATCTGTACTGGAGTAATTTCAAAATATTTCTACTGTTACCAGCTCTGGCTGAATTTTAACGGTTTTTACAATTTTGAGGACATTTATTGTGTATCTGGCTATTCTGATGCTGTTCTTAAATAAATAACAAGTGTCCACACCCCATTTTACACTAGTTGTAACTAGATTGATTTGGATCTTGCACCTTTCTGGCACAGCTCAGGCCTGCCTTTGGCCACGTTATTTCCACTCACAGCAGCAAGGTCTACTATAGACAGGGGGTGATGTTTTTTAAAAATAGCACTATGTGGCTTAAGCCACCTCTGAGCAAGGGCAAATCTGATTCTGAAAATGTCAGTAGGTGAAGCATCTGCCTCATGACTATGCGATGGCTCTTGGTTGTTTCATCACCCTTTCTGCGTAAAACTGTCCCGGCTTTACAAACAGGACACGGGACAGGAGAAAACGGTCCGAATTTTGCTCGTAGCCCTCTGCTCCGGGAGTTTGATGTTTGCAAATATTCCGCTGGGCGAAACGCTGCTCAGCAGAAGTGATTTGCCAAAAGAAAAAAAAAAGAAAAAAAGGGGAGGGGGGATTGTT